AGCAGGCTGTAGCAGAGCAAGGACTGCAAGAACCACTAACATCACAGATCTAATTGAGGACTGCCATCCCACCGTTGAAACAGAGCAGGAGAGAACAGATCTAGACAACAGCAGGTCTTAGCAACCATTTCACATCAGCCCCTCCTAGGAGAGGTGAACTGATGGAAGTTCGTTTGTGTGTGATTTGAAGAAAAATTTCAAGAGAAGCAACAGATGAAAGAAACAAGTGTTGTGAAACTGAGTATGATGAGGCCTGTCGGGCCATGTCACCTTGGCTGTCTCCTTGAATCCTTTTCTGCTTGTTAGTGAATGCCTCTTTCCTTCAGTTTGGGCACTCTTCTGTTTAGGCAAACACAGATAACAGCTATGTACTTTTGGTCTAAGGGAGACAACAAAGAAAGCAGAAAGAAAAAATGTACCTTTTCCATGAGAAACCACAGTCTGATCTTTAACAGGCTGTAGCAACTCCAAGAACAAAATGGCTAATGCCTCTGCTAACAGGCAGAGTTCTTACAGCTTTACAAGAGGGAAAAGGCATGGTGATTTTGTGGCAACAGGCTCTGTGCTCTGACTTCCACATTTACGAAAAGGCAAAGGGTGCTGGTAGAATATATGAGAGCAATACCCTTAGAAATTAGTAATAGAATGTGAAGAAAATTCCTTATCACTTGTGAGTCATGATTTCTCAGCAGTGCATCCATTATAGAACAAAATACTACCCAACATACCCTGATTGTCAGCATATAGGGCCTAATTAATCACTGAGGAAACATTTTAAGAGTCATAAAAATGAAGGTACAATTATTTGAAGATGATCTGATAACAACTGGTTTGTGAAAAGAAAGTTGGATTTTGGTAACTCCCCCTAAAGAGAATTCCAACCTGGAGAGAATATGATTTGCAAATAGCAATGATCTGTACTTTCCAATTGTATCAGAAAAGAAGGCATCTGAAATGCAGGGGAGGGGCTGCAATACTGGACCTGATGGTCACCAATGCAAGTGAGCTCATCAGTGACGTCAAGACTGGACGCAGCCTGGGCTGCAGTGATCACGCATTGGTAGAGTTCACACTCCTGAGGGATATGGGAAAGGTGAGGAGTGTACTCAGGAGCCTAAATTTTAGGAAAGCCAACTTCCAGCTCTTCAAGGAGTTAGTCAGTAGGACCCCCTGGGAAACTGCCCTCAGGGACAGGGATCAGAACAGAGCTGGCAGATCTTTAAGGATGCTTTCCATAGAGCGCAGGAACTCTCAGTCCCCAGGTGTAAGAAATCAGGCAAGGGAGGGAAGAGACCAGCATGGCTGAGCCGACACCTGCTGGCCAAACTAAAGGGCAAGAGAGAACTGCTCAGGCAGTGGAAGCAGGGACAGGTATCCTGGGAAGAGTACAGGGACGCTGCCTAGTTGTGTAGGGAGGAGGTCAGGAGGGCCAAGGTGTGGCTAGAGCTGAATTTGGCACGGGATGCAAAGAATAACAAGAAGGGCTTCTACAGGTATGTCAGACAGAAAAGGAAAGTTAAAGAAAGCTTACCGCCCCCAGGTGAACAAGAATGGTGGCCTCGTATCAACAGAGGAGGAGAAGGCTGAGGTACGCAACAACATTTTTGCCTCAGTCTTCACTGGCAACCTCTCTCCTCGCTCCTCCCAAGATGCGGGACCACAAGATGGGGACCAGAGGGGTAAAGCTCCTCCCACTGTAAGGGAAGATCAGGTTCATGACCACTTGAGGAACCTGAACATACATAAGTCTATGGGACCTGACAAGATGCATCCCAGAGTCCTGAGGGAATTGGCTGATGTGGTTGCCAGGCCACTCTTCATCATAACTGTAAAGTCATGGCAGTCAGATGAAGTCCCTGGGGACTGGGGAAAAGGGGAACAT